AGCAAGAATCTCCAAACAGCAGAGCATTCATAGTCAATATATTTTTTATTTTTACTTTTTATTAATCATTCTTTTCATTTACATCTCTAATGATATCCTACTTCCTGGTTACCCCTCCACAAACCACCCATGCCAAATCTGCCCCCTCTTCCCTCCTCTTTGCCTCTATGAGTATACTCCCCCACCAACCCAACTTATCTCACCCCACTGCTACAGCATTCCCCTATGATGGGGCATCTAACCTCCACAAGACCAAGGGCTTCCCCTCCCATTGATGTCAGAGAAGGCCATCCTCTGCTACATTTGTATCTGACCAGCTGACCCACCAGGGTCTCTGAGCTAAGTCTGATGGTTGGCTCTAAGCATTCACATCTGCATTGGTCAGATGCTAGCATAACCTTCCAAAGAACAGCCAAACTAGATTTCTGTCAGCAAGTGCCTCTTGGCAACAGTGTAGGGAGTTAGTGTCTGCAGACAGGATGCATCCCCACATGGGGCAGTCCTGACCCTGGTGGGCCAGCTGGTAATAGGACTAGAGGAGGGAGGGGTATTTCAACATCATAGGAAGAACAATATCACCTTGCTGGACCACCTAGTAGTCCCAGTGACTAGACCACCAAGCAAGCAGTGTGCAGGGGGGCTTCTATGACTTCAGATACAAATGTAGCAGAGGATGGCCTTCTCTGACATCAATGGGAGGGGAGGCCCTTGGTCCTGTAGAAGTTTGATGCCCCATCATAGGGGAATGCTGTAGCATTGGGGTGAGATAAGTTGGGCAGGTGGGGGAGTATACTCATAGAGGCAAAGAGGAGGGAAGAGGGGGCAGATTTGGCATGGGGGGGTTGTGGAGGGGTAACCACGAAGTGGGAAATCATCAGACATGTAAATGAAAGTAATTATTAATAAATAAAAGTTTTAAAAGTTTTAAAAGTACTATGGATTCTGCCCAATTTTTTTTTTTGTTTTTTGGTTTTTTTTGGACAGAAATCTCCCTCAAATGTCCCCTCAAATACACCCTTTCGTTCCCTCTGAAATTAACTCCAGAACTATTTGATTAGCCTTAATTGGCTTAGACCCTGACTCTCCCTTCCCACAAGCATCCTTTAATCTCTTGTTAACCTCCTAAAAGGAAACAAAGGGCCCTCATGCTCATGTCCAGAGAATGCTGTTTCCTGAATCATCCAAGCTCTAAATTCTGTCAATGAAGCCTTAAAAGGCATGGCTCTTGCTATATGTGACCCAACAATGCCCATGCAGCTCCTTATCTTCACTTTCTCCCCTACACTTGTGGGAGCCATTTAACAACCTCAGTAGGTGCTGGAATGGTTCCACTCCCAGATGGTTGGCATTTGCCGAATTCTAAATGAGGTAGATGAACTCACTAGTATAATTAAAAGTGGCAGGCACAGAATCCTACAAACTTTAGGAAAGTACCTGACATTCTTCTCACTGCCTGTTTCCTCTCTGATGCTCAATTGCTAATCAAACAGTACTTCCATTTTGCTCTCAGCTTAGTAGGATTCCCAGGACATATAGGCAACATCCTGATGAAATCTGGGTCTCTTTCCTCCCTCTGTTGTGATGACTGCCCCTCAAAATATTTTTAAAAACCCATAATTGGAGTCCTCTTCATATTTACTCATAGAGGGAAGAGGGGGAGCTGTAGCAGTACTCTGCTCAGGATGAAATCCTCATTCTCTGATTCAGAGACCTGCCCCATCACTTGCCCCAATATGAAAAATTCTATGCTATCTGTCTAGCCCTAAAGGAAGACAAGGTGTCCCTTAACATTTTTTTCAGACAGGGTATATGCTGTCAATTTGCTCTGCTGGCTGTCAATATTTTTGTCAAACTAAATGCCAAACCAGATGCTTCCAAACTCTTTCAGGAAAGAGATTATCCATCTACATCTAGCATGTCAGAATTCATAGTCCCCTGACATGCCCAAATCCAAAGGAAATGTCCTCACTGAAAAAAAAATCACCTTAACAGGAACATACATTACCTCCACTGAGCAAGCAGACCACTTTCATAAACGCACGAACACAAAGGGGCTATATGCTTGCTTCCCCAACATCCCCTTGTTCAACTCTAAAGCATGAAAGAAACATGCTCCTCTCATGCATCCCTTATTACTACCCCAGCTCTATAAGTAATGGGCAAAATCCTTGAGGCCTCAAGTCCAATGGCTTATGGCAAATCTATGTCACCCATACATTCCAATTCAGTAGATGAAAAAATATATATTTTTTTACCATAGATACATAGCTACACTTTATGTGGGCCACAGCCCAAAAGAATGAAGTCTCATAAAGGTTAATTCATCATTTCTACCTTTACCATCATTGGCATTATTCCTATGACAAAATTGATAATGAACTTGCCTTCACTATATCTCAATTCAACAAGTTCTGATCACAATGGGAAATTACCCAAAATACCCACAGGGGAAAGAAATAGTAGAAAGAACATATCAAACTCTAAAAGCACTACTTTTAGAAAAAAAGACAAACACCTAACCACCAATGTACAATTGACGATAGTTCTCACTATACTAAACTATTCTCTACAAAAACTCCAAACACCACCCATCTCCCTCCATTGGATACACCAAAATTAATGCTTCCTATTCTAGTATGATGGCATGATCCTTTGGATCTGATTTGGAAGTGATCAGATCCCCCTCACAATGTGGAGGTGTTTTGTTTGTGTTTTCCCACAAGACCAGCCCAAGGGTATCTGGATTTCATGAGAAATTTCTGATACTATCTCACCTACCAATAAGATGGGCTGTCTCTTGCTGGCAGACCAAGGAAAGGGGAGTAGGAAGAGGAGGTAGGGCCCACTTAGTTGAGGGTCATTCACAGTGTAAGCAACCGAGGTTTATGGCCATATTCTAATTGATGGTCTTCTGATTGATCTCTGCTTGAGTGTCTGTTAGCTGAACACACTCTATTGCACATTCCTCCAGCTCTTAGGATGGCTGGATCATTTCTTGTGTGAGGACTGTAGTACAAAGTTTTATTCTTTACAATAGCAGTCTTTTATAGCCTAAATAATAATTCTTGTTGGTTGATAATGGTTTTCCCTGATAATGCCATCTTGAACTGAAATAAGTATGAATCTTGAAGTCTTTCTGTCTTCATTTTCATTGTATAAGCTTTTAGTACTATATTCTTCCTGTTTTCACTTAAATGGTGTTTTATTTGGACAAAGTCTTACATTAAATTTTATATTTTTTCATCCAATTAATTTGACAAAGGATTCTTACCTGATGATTTGTGACACTTCCATAAACATTAACTGCATTAAAATAAAAAATGAAAATATGTATTTCTCCTTTGATTCTTTTTTGATTTTTCTATTAACACTTGTTTTAGTTTAGGCTGCTATAATGCATGGGTTTCATGAATTATTCAATTAATTCTTCTTCATCAATTTTACTGATTTACTTGCTGTTTTCAAATGTTATTGTACTATTTTATCCCTTGTTAATTGCTTTCTTGTGGCCCAGTACTGTATAACTGTATATCAGATCTTTTTCTTCATTTTATCTCTTTGCAGTATAAAATTGTTACTGTTTCTGCTTTCCACAATACTTTCAGTTTCATTATTTTGTTCATTTCTATGTGGCCTGTGTGTGTGTGTGTGTGTGTGTGTGCGTGTGTGTGTGTGTAAAATGCTTTGGTTCTTCTTAAATTCTTGAGTCTTATATTAGATAATTATCATCAAATAGATTCTTTTTCAAATATTTGTGCCTGAAATGTCCATATGTGTCATGTTAGTCTCATTTATATTCTGGGATTTTAACACAATAACTTTGAGCTCCAATATTGACTTCCCACCCTCATATATCATCTGGTCTCTTTCCATTTTTTGTGCAATTATACACTGAATCATACTAAGTTTTCTACTTGTTATCACAGATGACCTTGGGCTAATGGGAAGGAATAATTTCAGTGCTGTTGAAATCTTTCTTATACTTTCATTTGACCCTTTAGCAGACTTGGTTTCCACCAGGTTCAGTCAGTTTATGCTCTAGAATTTCTACTGTGACCCTGGGTTTCTAATTGTTTTTTTGTTTGTTTGTTTGATTGATTGATTTTTATTCAAAGCTTCCATACCCCACTGTCCCTATTTACCCTATTCAGTGTTTTTCTTTTTTGTGCATGATCTAATGAACAGATATTGAATTTCATTTTTGCCCCTTTTTCTAAATAATGAGATGAATACTGTTCTCAGATGATATCCCAAAGCTTAGTTTGTTTATCTGCATGTAGGTAA